AAAAAAAAAAAGAAAGAAATGGAAAATTAACACAATTCCTACTCAAAACTCTACCAAATCAAATTCAAGGGATTTTGTTTTTAATTATGCTACAAGGTCACAGAGATTAAGAAAGGAGATAGATATTCTGGGAGCTGGCTAGCAGATGGTCAATGGTGAGTGACTTAGTAATCCCCAGCAAGTCAAATGCGGAGAGTTGAAAATGTCAAGCAAAAACCCAGTATATATCCAGAATTCCAGGTGTACCAGAATGAAATAAAGGTATTCATGCTGAAGTCCTAATATTGAAACCTTCCCTCTTGTCTTCCCCTAATCATTTCCATAATCTTATCAGCAAAAGCATTCACTTCCCAGACAACTTTCCAGAACCTTTTCTGGTCATGAAACCAATCCAATAGAAAAAATTACGTTGACATCAGAGTCTCCCTAACAAATGGCAGCTAGATGATTCTTCTCTAAAATTCAAAGTTGTCCAGCTCCATCTACAGGCTCAGAGTGTCTAATGAACTTTATAAGCTCCACTCTTAAAAAAAAGTGGACACCAAACTGATCAAAAAATCTAATGTCTGTCATTTATATTCTAAGATATTAAAAAAAATTTCAGAATGCTCTTTTTAAAAGGAAGGAGAAGGAAGTTGGACAATTGTAGAATAAACTGTTCTTAGAAATTAATAATGTCCTATCAGAAATTTAAAACTCACAGAAAACCTTGGAAAATAAAGCTTAGAGAACACCCCAAAGAAAAATACATGTAAGTTAAGAGAGAAAAGAAAGATTAGAAAAATTTCAGAAAGATTTCAGAGTGAAGAGAGGGGAGAAAATTCTGATAAGACAGAAAATCACCAAACTGAAATCATGAGTCCACAATAATGCATATAAACATAAGACACATTATCATGAAATCTGAGAACACTGAAAAAAAACAGCATTCTGAAAATTTTTCAAAAAAGGAGGAAAAAGGTCATAAACAAACAAACAAAAATAATCAGTAAACAGAAAGTAATTCTGAGTCCTGGGAGGCAAGGATTCAAATTCTAAAGGAAAAGTATTCCCAATATTGAATAACAATATTTTTTGACATGTATGTCTTCAAAATATTTAACACTAAGTTCATTAGCTGCAAGAATGGTGGAGGGAAAATAGAATGGTCTCAAATACTTTGGGCATGTTGGTAGGAGGGGCCTGTCCTTGGAGAAATACACCGTGCTGGGAAAGGTTGAAGGTCAGACAGAGAGGGAGAGCCTTAATAAGACGGATTGGCCCAGTGACTGTAACAATGGGCTCTAGCATATCCACAGCGCCATTCTGAGGACGGGGCAGGAGAGGCTGAGTTAGTCTCTGTGAGTTGTTGTCACCTAACAACAGACTCCGTTTCTCGCAGTTACTCAAGGCTATTTGCCATCAAAATGAAGTATTAAGCAAGAAAGAAGAGACATGCAAAAGGATAAGGAAAATAGGAAATCTAACACAGATAGGCCAAAGGAATTCCCAAATTCTCACTTTCACCGTACCGTCCAATGTTGCCCATAAATTAGAATCTGTTTCTTCGCAATGTCCATTCTGTCCCAGGCCATCGCCAGGTTTAATTGTTCTGATGCTGATAAATTTGTGCCTAGGATGAAAGAAAGGAACAATCACATACATGCATGTATTGCTTAACGGCCACTCAGGCAGCATCTGATTATATATCCAATGATCTTATAAGGGTGTGTGTGGGGGTGTGTGGGGGTGTGTGTGTGTGTGTGTGTGTGTGTGCATGTCTCCATGTGTATTGAAAAAGGGCCCTAGGGTGCATCCTAATTCCAGTAGACTTCCTTCCTTATTTTCCTCTTCCCATTCCTGGCTGATTAATTCATGTGCCTAAAAGCCATGCAGCCTTTAACTCCAGCTCAGAGTGGTCAAGCTCACGAAGCTCTTGGGCTCCTCATAAACAGGGATATATGCTGAGTAAGTGGTGAACCAACAGAGCCGCGCATCCACAGGCCGCACACTTACACACTTGATTCACAAAGGCCCCTCCACATGCCTCCAGATTTTCTCCCCCTTCCTCACCACTGGATGTGCAAAGCCTCAGTCTGGCTGCCAATCTCCTGAACCCAGTAGATACAAATCTCTGGCTTTTTCTCATAGGCTCCCAGATGATTTGTAACGTAGTAGACATTGCAGGAGTACAAACTACAGATTGTAGGGGATTGTATATAATAATTTGTTATTCACACACATTGAAATTCTGTAACATACTATTTAAAAAAAAAACCAACAAAAAACAAAACGCATTTTGAACACCAGGCACTGAATACATGTTTACATTCCAATTATCTGTTTACAAACACAAAGTACCACTGAATGTGAAAAGTGCAAGTAAGGAAAAGTTCTTACCCTATTCAGACACTTACCCTTTAACAGAGCTGTTAGGATTGCTAAGTCTAGGTCTTGTTGTTCCTCAGTATCAGCATCAAATATGGTAATCTATAACAATTTAAAAACAGACCATCATGTATTAGGGAGACTTAACAAAGAAACACTTTCAAAAGTACCCACAAAACTCTCTCCTGAGCTAGTGAATTAAGGGAAGCATTTTTCATTAATATAAAAAACAACATACAGCTCAAAAATTAAATTTACATCTTTGCCTAATGGCAAGAAGCTGTGCTGCAATCCTGAAGGCAGTGTTTCAAATCCACCAGCTGCATTGTGGAAGGATAAGTTATCTCCTCTG